CTCATCAAGAGTTAAAGGGTTGGCCCATAAGTTACAGTTGTAGAAAATTCATGATAATTGTATGCATGTTGTGTGTGTTATTGAATAAAATAATGTCATTATTGTTATTGAGGCACTGTTTAAAAGACGTACTTGGCCATTTATTGTTCAGATTAGCACATCCCAGTGTGTTTTTCCTTAATTGCAGGCATCGCTGTAGCACAAAGACTAGCTCCATTTGGTGTCTCTAGATTTCTTTATTGTGATGTCAATAAGAAGCCTCAAAGTGGTAAGACTTTGACCATGTATTAACTATGGTTTCCTTACAAGAACAAAGCTTGACAGCAGCTAAAATGCTCTACAACAAGAGAAAAAGGGTATTGTTGAAAGGTGGCTGTAATATGGGAAAGACAGGGGTGAAATACAACTCTTATTTTTTAAAAGGCATTGGATTTGTTGTTGCTGTTGTTGTTGTGAAAAATGCATAGCATGGCATATCCTAAAAACATAAAAATAAATGCTGCTTTCAACTCAGCTTTCTCATGACTGATTTTCCTGTTCCTTGGAACAAAGTAACATTCTATAAATATTTAATTTTTTTTACCATGTAAAAGTTGGAATTTAAGTCTTCTTAGTCTTCATATTTTATTAAAAAATTCCCATTTGTATCTATAGCTTAATTGTCCATCCTAGAATTCACAACTGCTGGTATTTCAACTACATACATACTTGGTTGATAATATGTAGGAGTAAGAATAACACAGCATACAGAAGTGTATTGTGCATGTCAACCCAACCTGTCTAAATATCAACTTGAGTTACAGAGTTATATTCTCGATGGGTTTCACACAGAGTTGAAAGTGAAATGCAGCTTGTACATATTCATTTAGTTATATAGTAGAAACCAATCTGTGTTCTAAATTCCTTTGATTTCAGTGGAAAAACTGGTTACACCAAACGCAGAGCATGGTAAGTTTTTATTTTTTTATTGAGTGTTTATAATGATATTTGCACACTGTCAATTAGAATTGATAGGGTAATTAATGCATCATATTTTGGCTTGAGGATAAGATACCCTGTAACTAAGTGTCTTCCATACAATACCTTCGATGTTAGTTTTGGAAATTTTGTGATGGATCAACTAATAATCCCCTAATTGATATTATTTCTTTCTCTTCATCACCTGTTTGCTTGATACTGTATTGATATGAGGGAAAACTCTCTCTTGGTCACTCATGGCAGTTTATTTCTTTCTCTTCATCACCTGTTTGCTTGATACTGTATTGATATGAGGGAAAACTCTCTCTTGGTCACTCATGGCAGTTTAAGGGTAAATCTTTACTCATGGTTAACTGCAGTTTGAGGTTATTTTTTTTTTTGGTTATCCAAAATGTATGAAGAAACATTTTACCTGACACAAATGTGATTTCCTTACATTGCAGTTGATATGGACACCCTGTTGAGAGAGTCTGACTTTGTGAGTGCACACACAGCTTTGACACTTGAAACAGCAGGTAACAAAAAAGATGAATAGGGCAGTACATTTTGTCTAGTGTTATAAGACTTAAAATCAAATGAGTAATTAAACAAGAATCTAAAGGAAAAAAATTAAAATGGCTGATGAGATTTAGCTTTATAGCCAGTTTTGCATGCAGACTTTACCCTAACCTTTAAGAAATGGGAAATTTTTTAGAGGGCTTAAAGCGGTAATGTTTTCAAAGTTATGCAAAAATAAACTTTTTTTTATGTAGGAATGTTTAACAAGGATGTGTTTTCCAAGATGAAAAGAAGTGCAGTATTTGTCAACACCAGCAGGTAAATTGGAGGGAGTGTTTTGTTATTTCAAGCTGTCCTACCACTGCAAGAGCCGCAAGTAACAGACTAAAGTGTCTCACTGAAATTGTCAGTTTTTCAATTTTTTCATTCCCATGATTTCATCATCATCATCATCATCATCATCATCATCATCATCATCATCATCATCATCATCATTATCATCATCGTGAGTAGTCCAGTGGTCAGTGCGCTGGACTCTGGGTTAAACGGCCCGGGTTCAAGTCCTGGCTGGGGCTTAACGTTGAGTCCTTAAGCAAGACACTTCACTCACATTGTTTCGTCTTCTCGGATAGGACGTAAAGCCGGAGGTCCCGTCTCTTAAAGGGTAAGGGGTAAGAGACGTTAATTTCCCACGCACGAGATTACTGTGTGCTGGATGTCCTCCCCTGGGGTGGGTTGGGTGGGAAAACAGCAGGTCCACATCAGCTTATACAGTTGCCAATAAATTCAACCTGCTTGAACAAATAAACATGATGATGATGATGATGATGATGATGATGATGATGATTACTATCAATTTAGTACTTTCCCGGCGCTAGAGGAAGATCGCAAGCCGAAAATTAAAGCCGGTGTTTTAACGATAACTAATAAACAATTATCAATTTCTACTTGTCTCAGGACGCTAAAAAGAGTTGTTCAACTACATTGGCATGCTAAGTTAAATATTGATCATTTTATAAAGTAGCATTCTCCATTTGATCAGTAATTTGTTCTTTGTGGAATGTCCTTTCAGACCTGTCCCGCAATTTACAAAAATACGGAACATATTGAATCTGGGATACTTCAGCTACACGTTTCACATTTGGGTGTACCCCAATTACTAGTAGAAAACTTTCAAGATATATACTGGCTTTAGAATAATTTCAAAGTTTGAGAGAAAGTGCTTTCCTT